GCGTTTTTCAAGTGTCGCGATTTTTATTGCCTGTTGCCATGGAGCAAATACATAGAGGAAGTGTTGTTAGCGTTTACTCTAAGAAATCAAGTGAAGCCACTGAACAGCGCCAACACGACGAGTGGCCAAACTAAAATCACTAAAAAAATAGTAACACAATAAATAATTAAGTAGAGCCCGTCTCGATAAATAGCGCTCCACTCAAAATAGCATCGTCAGATTATACAATCTCCGATAATTGTATTTGAACGTCAACTTGGAGCTCTGCGAAATAGGTCAATGTAGTTATATACTTAATATATAAATTCCTTGAAATAGGCATTTATAAAGTACCTAAATATTATTATTTCTGCTATCAGCCCTACAAGCATGAGCACCACGTTATGATATATTGCTCGTTTTGTCTATGACTGGAGTTTGACAGTTAGATGCGATAAAAAGCATGATCACTACATAGTATAAAACAAAGTCGCTTTCTCTGTCCCTATGTCCCTTTGTATGCTTAAATCTTTGAAACTACGCAACGGATTTTGATGCGGTTTTTTTAATAGATAGAGTGATTCAAGAGGAAGGTTTATATGTATAATACATGCATAATATAGTAGAGAAATGTAGTTTTTAATGTAAGGTCGTAAATAAACACATTTTTTGCGCTTACATTGCAAACGCTGGCTGAACCCCACGAGATAGATCAAAATAATGTACTACAGTATTGTACACCTTAAAAAGGTCTACAAACAAGTCCGCGATGGTATATCTCTATCTCTTAAGGATAACCCACAATAACCAATTTTTATCCTATACTTTTTACGCGAAATAATAGATTATTTACGAAGCGATTTTAAGCAATATAACATTCATCCTTATCCAATTAAGTACCTTAAATACATTGTGCATTTAATATAGAACAATTTGGCCCTTTAATGCATATAATTTAAATGATTTTCGAAGATATTACAAATTTAAAATTCAGGGACATAGCGGTTCCGACGCTACCGGGCTTGGCGGCGCGTGCCTATTGTAATTGGGTATTAGAAGAATGTCATTGTGTATAATACAAGCCTGAGAACAAAAACTATAGTCTACACTACAGCTTTACACCGAAGCGAAGCGAGGGCGGGCCACTAGTATAATATAAATTGTATTGCTCATGCTACGGAGACAGGATTAAAATTTTGCCTGTGTTAAGTATAGATGTAGAGTGTGACTATCATGAGGTACTGCCAATCCCACATAGTAAATAAGCAATTAATTAGAATGAAGTACAGATATAATTATGTGATTGGTCTAATTAATGAGTGACCTGAGCCTGAGGGCCTGAGACGCGCGGGAGCCCCTCTCTCCCTTACCTTAGTCGGCCCCTGTCGCACGCTTCAGCCACTTTAGTAGCCGATTCTAGTTTCTCGTCGCGGCGTTTGTGGCTGTGGCGTGTGGCACGTGTGCGGCGACACTAAGGTAAGGGAGAGAGGGGTGGGGAATCGCGCGAGTGACGTGTGGCGGCGTTTTGTATCGGCGCATTTAGTGGCCGGTGCGGGCCACAAGAAGCGAGCAACGACGACTTGTAGCGTGTGGCGGCCACCGGCGTACCGTGTGTGGCGATTCCATATAAAAGGACAATGCTCACGTAGTATGGAAAATTAACCCAGGCTCGGCGCAAATGATATGTATCTCAAATTACTGGTAATAATCAGTAATTAATTACTACGTAGGTATCATCACCGAAATATATTTTTTCTTTGTGAAATTCCACTTACATCAAAGAAAAAGAAAACACAAAAGTTAGTTATATGCATTTATTATTGAAACATTATTCATTCTCTAAATCTGGGACTATATCATCCAATGTGTGTCCAGGATGATTGAAGTCATTTTGAAATCTGGCCCAACTCAAGTAATATAGTACATTCATCACATGAGCACAGATGCCCAATATCCTCTTTCCGTAAATACAGGTACAATAGTGTTCCAAAATAGCGTGTCTGCTATTTTCACTTTTATACAATATATATGTGTAGTAAACTCTTCTTCTAATGTGTCTAGATTGAATTCGGCATCTTATTAATGCTCCGTCTTCACCATTTAATACCAGAGGCACTGGATCTCTGTAAATCTCAATTTCATGAACACCAGTTCGATTTATGTGCTCACTGCAATAGGAACGTGCTATTTTGCAATGGTAAGTACCCACGGCAAACAATATTAGGTCCTCTTATGTTAGTCTGGGGAAGTCTTTAAACGTCTGGTCATTACCTTCCAAGCGTACAAAAAATGCTCGTTGGCGGTTTAAATTGTGCTCAACAACATACTCGGATAAAAGATTGGGCTTATCCATGTTTCTGTTTATGGTTTCCATAAACTGTTCTGTATATTGGCTATCTTCGTAGGGCTGTTGAAACGAGTTTATGAGAGCTGCAGCTATTCTGTAATCCGTCATTACGGTGGGTAAAGCTCTATTAAATACCCGGTATCTAAACATTTTAAAATCTCGCTTGAACCTTCCATTTATTGTTTCTACAACCCATCTACATAAGGCTTTGTATTGTATACAGCTACGAACGAAAAAGCGATTTGGATGTCATTTATGCTACAATGATATACATTATATCCTCACAAAACAAAAGAAAAAACCGGTCAAAAGCACATACACACTTGTTATTTTTCTCGCAATAACTACATAACGAAATGAAAGGTACGAAGTTATTTAAAACAATATTAACTCAGGCATTTTCTAATATGATAAATACTCTTAAACACCCTTTTCAATGATTAAATATATTTTTATTAAAAACTATTAATGTTACCCCTACAGAGTTTCGAATAGCAATTTCACACTTTTAGAAAAACATTTCGAAGATTCGAACTATGCAGTATTTAATATCTCATTTTTAGTAATAATTTGAGATACATTTGATTTCCGCCCGGCGTGGGTTTTTTTTGAGCATTGTTCTTTATGAAAACTACAAGAAATATGCCGGTGGCGGCGATTTGTGGTTGTGGTCGGTGGCCCGTGTGCGGCGACACTAAGTCATTTGCCGAGAATAACGTGTATATAATGCATGAGTATGTAAACTTTCATTAAGTTTTTAGAGTCATCACACACCTTACTGAGATTTGAACTCAGGGCAAACCTCGAAGCAGAATGACCATTTACCATTGCATCTACCGACCGTCGATTATACGTGTCTTATGCAGTTAAGTGCACTAACGGAATAAATATTTGACACCCATGCTACTACCAACTGTTGCTAATGGGTAATTCATGATTTTGAAATGACCACTTTGCAACTATGGCTTCGCTGACATTTTCTGGATGCATTTGCGAACGCCTTAATATTGTTACACCTTCATTTTATGGATTCACAAGCCTCATTAATGGGTACATCTTTGGCGTTATTAAAATTAGGCAAGCAGCGCGTCCTGTAGCCTTTAAAACAATCGGTCCCATGGGCGTTGGTATCGTTGGCAGTTTATTTATGCTGACAGCACGACACGGTTAGCAAGCATGATGAACCTACAATAAGTCACGCGTGTGCCCCTGCTGCTACAACCTCTGGGGACTTCTAATACAATACGGAATATAAAGCTCACACGTTCTTCCCTTATCGTTCTTGTCAAGTTACGACAGTAATACAAACATTTTGAAAGGCGGTATCCTTATTCCAAAACGCGGGCTAAAGTTAGTCTTGGGTTAAACCTAATTTTGTCTCCGTCTTCTTTTTAGCAAACAAAGTGACAGCATCAGTTTTAATCCAGGGTTAACTTTAATCTATGTTATTAGAAAAAAATCCACGCGGACCAGGTAGCAGACGGGACTCGAACCCGCACCCTTCGCAATCCGGCCGAATGCACTGACCAATTATGCTACCGCGGCCTTCACGGACCGCGTCGAAATTTCTCTAGTGATTCTTAAGCTGCAAGGCAGCGCCATCTCTTCGCATTATACGTAACCCACAAGGTGCGCGTTCGAGTCCCGTCTGCTGCCTGGTCCGCGTGGAATTTTTTCTAGTTATATTTTCTTTAGATTTAAACATCAAGCTTTTTTTTTCTATGTTATTTAACAAGGCGGATAGAGTCCAGCAGTGGACGTCTATCGGGATCAGCCGATGCGTGTCTTTGTACGTAGGTATTCAATTTTCGCCATGACCTGGAAAACTACTAAACGGATTTTCATTTCATAGTAAAATAGTCTTCTGGCCCATCCTATTACATTTTTCTTGTTGTTTGTTTTGCTTACCGACCACTTTGATAATACAAATATGCGCGTATATAGGCTTAACACGTATCGCTTAATGCTACTTTGCATGTTTCGAGGTTGCGAGGTTACTGGTAAGTTAGGATTGGTTCATTTTCTGTGTTTTACAACGATATAACATCGTTGGCGTTTAAATTTAAACTGAACAAGCTAACAATATCTGACTTTATTGTTCAATCAAGTAACGACCACCATATTCTACTAGATACGGAACTTTATAAGAACATTTGAAGAAGACCTAGCAAGCTGTTCCACTTCGCCTAATGTAAAGCGTGTCTTAATGTAAATCCATACCCTTAGTACGAACCAATGGTATCGATTCGGGCATGATTCTCTAAACCTAAACTTAAATTTGACAGCAGTATATCCTTGTCATTCTCTATACAGAATGAAAAGGAGAGACTGATGTTAAATTTAGTTTTAAGTTTAGAGAATCATGCCAGAATTGGTACCAATATCGAATACGAATAGTTAGCGAGTCTTCAAATTCTGTTTGAAAATTTTGACAGTAGCGCTACTATAGACACATAGACAGACGTAACGAGAACTAAAAATCAGTACACATTTGACGTATATCCAGGTCGAATTCAACTATTCGAATTCGATAATGGTTCGTGCTAACTAAGGGCACAGTTGCCAAGATGTGGGGCAAAGATACGATTATAATTTATGTCATCATTGTACTTAAACGAGATTCGAATACCAAATTGATTTTTCTTTAAAAAGTATCTTTTATCTGTTTCCAAAGCATGGAAGTGGGAGTGCGCGTGCTAGGCATAGTGCTGAGGCTACTGAACCTGCTTCTCGCGCCTTTGTTTTGGTTGCGCTCGCGCGACAGACGCCGCCTGACGCCGCCTGCGCCGCTGCTGTTGCGCAGTGCAACGCAGCACGCCGCTGCCGTCAGGAACGGTGAGGTCAGTGACGTTTACGATACACTCCTTACAACAGTGGCAGAGGATGAATGCAGTGTTGCTGCGGTCTGCGTATTGTACCTGGGGGTCTACTCTCTTTCTCCGAAACGAAATGTCGATAACGAAGTTCAAACGAAATTTAATTTCGTCAATTTAAGGTTATACTTAATTTGAAAGATTAACTATCAAAATGAAGCTTTCTTTGAGTAGGCTTTGAAAATCCGCACCTCAATTTATATTCCGATGACGAATATTATAACAATTAAAAAGGAACCAGAAACTTAGTAAGAAAAGTGCGAAGTTACGATCGAAATTTCGATTTTCGTTGAATTTGAGTAGATCTCCTGCTCCTAGCGTCGTTGTTGTGACTGCGCACGCGCGACAAATGCCGGCTGAGGCCGCCCACTACGGTGATGCGTTGCGCAGCGCAACGCAGCACGCCGCCGCCGTCAGGAACGGTGAGGTCAGTGACGTTTAAGATAATCCTTACCACAGTGGCAGAGGATGAATGCAGTGTTGCTGCGGTCTGCGTATTGAACCTGCTCCTCGCGCCGTTGTACTGACTGCGCACGCGCGACAGACGCCGCCTGACACCGCCTGCGCCGCTGCTGTTGCGCAGTGCAACGCAGCACGCCGCTGCCGTCAGGAACGGTGAGGTCAGTGACGTTTACGATACACTCCTTACAACAGTGGCAGAGGATGAATGCAGTGTTTCTGCGGTCTGCGTATTGAATCTGCTCCTCGCGCCGATGTTCTGACTTCGCACGCGCCGGTGCTGTTGCGCAGCGCAACGCAGCACGCCGCCGCCGTCACGAACGGTAACGTCAGCGACTTTGAAGATGCAGATTACAGCATGAGCAACAGACCGCAGCAGCAGGGGTTACTACAGTGTTGCTACGGTGTGCGTTTTGAACATGCTCCTCGCGCCGTAGTTCTGGCTGAATGCCAGCTGTGGCCCCTGCGCCGCTGTTCTTGCGCACCGCAACGCAACACGCCGTCGCTGTCAAAAACGGTGAGGTCAGTGACGTTTGAGGTACACTTCTGACCACAGCGAGAGTTACCGACCGCAGCGGCAGAAGTTGACTGCAGTGTAGCTGCAGTCTGCGTATTATTTTAATCGAGCCCTATTCCACCAGTCGACATAATGTCAGTGACAAACTTAAGCTGACGGTTTGTTGTGGAGTGATCTATTGACTGCATCGATTTCATTATTTAAATATTCGATACTAGTTTTGTTTCTGGGGAATTTTTCTTTGAACGCAAAATGCATTCGTTCTTTATAAATTCTCCTGTATAAGAACTCATGTTCTCAAGCTTTCGCGGAGAGCCATTTTGTAACTAAAAACGAAAACACTACAATTTTAACGCTAATCTTTCCAACAAGGTACAAAAGTTATTAACTTTATTAGCTGTTTTTATTAAAATTAGTAAAAGGGCGTTAAGTTAACGTCTGTTAAGCTAGCATGGCAAAGGGAGCAGAATCGTTTAAAATAAAGTGTATCAATTAGTGCTTATTTAGTGCTAATTTAGTGCCAAAACCGGAAATTTAATGCTCTCATAGTTTAGCGAAAAATTAGAACACTGCCAGCTTTTAATTAAGCTAGCAGTGTATTCCCTGAAACGCCTATATTAACGCGTTATAGAACTAAAGCAATGCATAGGGAATTTAGTGCTTAATGAGTGCTGGCAGTATCTGATAAAAATTTTGGAAAATAAAAAATATTTTATTTTTTATCAATAAAAACTGCTAGTATGACAGTCTGAGCAAGTGACCGGTTCGAATACATCACTCTGGATCGAAGATCTATGATAATCAACGGTTAATAATTTAGTGCTCAATAAGTGCTGCCAGTATGTGATAAGAAATTAGAAAATATTTTTTTTTTTAATTTTTAACAATAAAAACTGCTAGTATGATAGTCTGAGCAAGTCACCGGGTTGAATACATCGCTCTGGATCGAAGATCTATGATAATCAACGGTTAATAATTTAGTGCTCAATGAGTGCTGCTAGTATGTGATAAAACATTTGGATTTTTTTATTTTTTATTAATAAAAATTGCTAGTTTGACAGTCTGAGCAAGTGACAGGGTTGAATATATCACTCTGGATCGAAGATCTATGATAATCAACGGTTAATAATTTCGTGCTCAATGAGTGCTGCCAGTATGTGATAAAAATTAGGATTTTTTTTTAAATTTTTATCAATATAAACTGCTAGTATGACAGTCTCAGCAAGTGACAGGGTTGAATACATCACTCTGGATCGAAGATTTATGATAGTCAACGGTTAATAATTTAGTGCTCAATGAGTGCTCTCAGTATGTGATAAAAAATTAGGTTTTTTTTTAATTTTTATCAATATAAACTGCTAGTATGACAGTCTGAGCAAGTGACCGGGTTGAATACATCACTCTGGATCGAAGATTTATGATAGTCAACGGTTAATAATTTAGTGCTCAATGAGTGCTCTCAGTATGTGATAAAAAATTAGGTTTTTTTTTTTTATTTTTATCAATATAAACTGCTAGTATGACAGTCTGAGCAAGTGACCGGGTTGAATACATCACTCTGGATCGAAGATTTATGATAGTCAACGGTTAATAATTTAGTGCTCAGTGAGTGCTGCCAGTATGTGATAAAAAATAACGAAATTTTATTTTTTTTAATTTTTTATCAATATAAACTGCTAGTATGACAGTCTGAGCAAGTGACAGGTTGAATACATCACTCTGGATCGAAGATCTATGATAATCAACGGTTAATAATTTAGTGCTCAATGAGTGCTGCCAATATGTGATAAAACATTTGGATTTTTTTATTTTTTATTAATAAAAACTGCTAGTTTGACAGTCTGAGCAAGTGACAGGGTTGAATACATCACTCTGGATCGAAGATCTATGATAATCAACGGTTAATAATTTAGTGCTCAATGAGTGCTGCCAATATGTGATAAAAAATTAGGTTTTTTTTTTGAATTCTTTATCAATATAAACTGCTAGTATGAGAGTCTGAGCAAGTGACTGGGTTAAATACATCACTCTGGATCGAAGATCTATGATAATCAACGGTTAATAATTTAGTGCTCAATGAGTGCTCTGTATAGAGTGATGTATTCAACCCTGTCACTTGCTCAGACTGTCATACTAGCAGTTTATATTGATAAAAAAATTAAAATTTCGTTATTTTTTATCACATACTGGCAGCACTCATTGAGAACTCAATTATTAACCGTTGACTATCATAAATCTTCGATCAAGAGTGATGTATTCAACCCGATCACTTGCTCAGACTGTCAAACTAGCAGTTTTTATTAATAAAAAATAAAAAAATCCAAATGTTATATCACATACTGGCAGCACTCATTGAGCACTAAATTATTAACCGTTGACTATCATAAACCTTCAATCCAGAGTGATGTATTCAACCCGGTCACTTGCTCAGACTGTCATACTAGCAGTTTATATTGATAAAAAAATTAAAATTTCGTTATTTTTTATCACATACTCGCAGCACTCATTGAGAACTAAATTATTAACCGTTGACTATCATAAATCTTCGATCAAGAGTGATGTATTCAACCCGATCACTTGCTCAGACTGTCAAACTAGCAGTTTTTATTAATAAAAAATTAAAAAATCCAAATGTTATATCACATACTGGCAGCACTCATTGAGTACTAAATTATTAACCGTTGACTATCATAAACCTTCGATCCAGAGTGATGTATTCAACCAGGTCACTTGCTCAGACTGTCATACTAGCAGTTTATATTGATAAAAAATTTTAAAAAATTAAATTTCGTAATTTTTTATCACATACTGTTAGCACTCATTGAGCACTAAATTATTAACCGTTGATTATCATAGATCTTCAATCCAGAGTGATGTATTCAACCCGGTGACTTGCTCAGACTGCCATACTAGCAGTTTCATTTGCTAAAAAATAAAACATTTTGTTTTTTTCTATTTTTTTTATCACATACTGCCAGCACTCATTGAGCATTAAATTATTAACCGTTGATTATCATACATATTCGATCCGTAGTGATGTATTCAACCCGGTTACTTGCTCAGACTGTCATACTAGCAGTTAATTTTGATAAAAAAATAAAAAAATCCAAATGTTTTATCACATACTGGCAGCACTCAATGAGCACTAAATTATTAACCGTTGACTATCATAAATCTTCGATCCAGAGCGATGTATTCAACCCAGTCACTTGCTCAGACTGTCATACTAGCAGTTTATATTGATAAAAAATTTAAAAAAAAAATCCTAATTTTTTATCACATACTGGCAGCACTCATTGAGCACTAAATTATTAACCATTGACTATCATAAATCTTCGATCCAGAGTGATGTATCAACCCGGTCACTTGCTCAGACTGTCATACTAGCAGTTTATATTGATAAAAAAATAAAAAAATTAAAATTTCGTTATTTTTTATCACATACTACCAGCACTCATTGAGCACTAAATTATTAACCATTGACTATCATAAATCTTCGATCCAGAGTGATGTATTCAACCCGGTCGCTTGCTCAGACTGTCATACTAGCAGTTTATATTGATAAAAAATTTAAAAAAATAAAATTTCCTAATTTTTTGTCACATACTGGCAGCACTCATTGAGCACTAAATTAGTAACCGTTGATTATCATAGATCTTCGATCCAGAGTGATGTATTCAACCCAGTCACTTGCTCAGACTGTCATACTAGCAGTTTTTATTGATAAAAAATAAAATATATTTTATTTTCCAAAATTTTCATCAGATACTGCCAGCACTCATTAAACACTAAATTCCCTATGCATTGCTTTAGTTCTATACCGCGTTAATATAGGCGTTTCAGGGAATACACTGCTAGCTTAATAAAAGCTGGCAGTCTTCTAATTTTTCGCTAAACTATGAGAGCATTAAATTTCCGATTTTGGCACTAAATTAGCACTAAATAAGCACTAATTCATGCACTTTATTTTAAACGATTCTGCTCACTTTGCCATGCTAGCTTAACAGACGTGTTAAGTTAAACTTTTAATTTTGATTTGTAAATTGAAATACTGTCATATTGACTTTGTCACTTGGGTGCCTTGAAACAGGTTTCTATATACCCATTAGTTGTACGAAACACCAGTTCGATTTGCAAAAAGCCATCAGGTGGTGATACGCCACATAGGTAATTACGCGTTATGAAATCCCTACTGTTAAGTATGATGCTGCCACTAGGTTTAATGACAACTTGACCGTTTCCACATGAACGCCATAATACAGGCTATCAGTCGAACGCACCTTGCAACGAACATTTCTCCAAGCATATGCCGTTATTAGCAATGAGGGCTATCGCGAATGAATCCGCCGCTAGAGGCTCTAGTTTAGCCTGAGGTCTCTGAAATATCAAATGTCATTGCTTGTGGGTGGACTACGCGGGTTTATTTCTAATTAAAATAATGTTGTGAATATTTGGTAATAACTCTGCATAATTATGGCAAATATGAGTTACGTGGTAATGAATGTCAGTTATTTAAAAGCGGAGCTAAGAAAAAATATTATGTCCTCCTTTTTTCCGAACAAAACAGAACTGCGGCATGGCCGATTATGTTTAAGATACGGTTCCTTTGTATTCAAATATGATTTAAATTTAAACTTTGATTTCACGCGCGTATAAATAAACTTCGGAAGTTACGATTCAGGACCTCACTTAACATTGGCGCCATCTGGTGAGACAGAAAACGGTAGCCGATTTCAAATGTCAAATGTAGATTTATCGTAAAGAGTTCTTTTGGCGTTAGCATATTATGTCCCCGCAGACGACACAATGTTAGTTTCAACGATTTTAGAAACATTGCAACAGTGATTTAATTGTCCCTGTTATTTTTATAGTGTTATGAAATTTATAATGTTCCAATCTGTCCGTGTATAGTAAAAGTAGTCGCCTCGAAAACTGTTAGAGGTCATCATTTATTTTAGCATAACTAACTTCGCTGACCAAAGCCATATATGGCTTAAACTAAGCTTTTGGCACGGAGGATTAAAACAAGAAGTTTTGCTAAAGTCGTGATGTCCAAAAATGCTGATCGTTCTTCTCAGTAACAATCATTTTTATTCTAAGCACTCAAGCTGCTAGATTTTTTATCTAAAGATACCTTTCTCAATAAAAACCACTTGTTCCAAAGGCCAGGAGCTCTATTTTTGAATCACTCGCCTTGCGTCGAACGCTCTCTTTGTACTAATTTTCATTCGACATAATTAAATCCGTATTTTTACATCGCTCGAGTGCAACGAATGGGTGAGACCACTCGTTGCATGGCGAATGGTGGAGGCGAATGATAGAACAATAGTCAAATTTGTGTCAGACGTCAAGTTAGTGTCAAACTTATACTTATTAATATTTCGTGTGTGATTGGATTTAGCCACTGAGTAAAATAAACTATTAGAAACTGTTTTGAAATGAGTGTTGTGACGTTTGAATTTTTCAAATGCCGGCACTTTACTTTGCTTTTCATTTTGCTATTAGACGACGATAATCTATCCTTGTCATGCTTTATATGAAACGACAAGGGCAGGTTGACGTCAAGTTTCTTCTTCTTTTACTATGGCATGACGGCTAATGCATGTCAAGTTTACAAACAGCAATCACGAACAGATAAGTGAAGTGCCGGTAATATAAACAACAAAATACAATTGTATTATACAGCCATGTATTAAGAATTTTTCGTTCCGTTTTCATTGCGGTAATTACTGGTTTTTATTAAGTCTGCGTGAAATAAATAAAATTTTATATTTCGTATTAAACTGGTAACATCGGTGACGAACGATTCAAAAATACGGAAAATCAGTATCATGCGATTTGAAAGTCGAAGGTGACTTATGTCGCATTCGACGATACTATGCCAGACGAGTGATTCAAAATTAGAGCTCCAGGTCAGGTTGGAATCAATTCATCAAATTTCGCTATCCGAGCGAAAGCGAATGGAAAGCTGATGAAAATGTTCTTAAGTTAGATTGCCTTTTATGTCGGCGCTAAAGTTGACTATTCGTGTTTGCTATTTGTTAATTTAGAATCAGTCTGTCCTTTAATTTATTTATTTTTGAATTCTTGTTGTAAATTTTTGGGTCTTAGATTAGTTCTAGTCACAAACAAGAACCCTATGAAGGGCATCTCAATTCTCTTGTAAACTAATATTATTTAACTAATTGTATTAAAATAATTTAATTGCATTTACAAATATAATTGATAAATGAAACAATCAAAATTTATCTTCGAGATATTCTTGCAAATCATAATAAGCCCTATTTTGGATTTTTTTTTGTCAAATCACGAGGACATTGGAGGGCTTTTATAGAATTTTGCAAGTGGTTGTAAACTTGGACGGCCCTGTAAAAAAAGTCCTTTTTAATAAGCCTAGATGTGGTATGTATCACATGTGTCGAATTCCCCAGAGTGCAATTCCATATGTTATCCAAGACGCAGCATGGGCATGGTAGGCTGTCATTCCATAAGTTTGTTTTCAAGTTTACAAATGGCAAATACGAATAAGCAAGTGACGTGCATTGCATTTTTTTTATGTTATTCAGATAACCAGCGAAAAACTGGTGACCGTATACATAGGGAGGGTTAAAGAAGTGAATCCTCTACTAAACGCTATAGTGGAAGAGCGGTATAGAGCAGCCTTAGAAGATGCTAAGGAGGTTGATCGCCGGATACGAGAGGCACGACAAAATGGCACTCTGGAGCAATTGGTGGAGGACAAACCTATACTGGGAGTACCGTTTACGGTCAAAGAGAGCTGCTCACTTGGTGGTAAGTGTATGTTATGCTAAGCTTTATATTTTTCTCTGGACCGACTTAGCTTAAGCGGTTATTCCACCTGACTAAATTCAGACGTCCTAGTTAGGATCCTAAAAAGAAGGCTAATTAGTAGCTTCTGATTACACTTGACTCATTTAGTTACCTACTGAATAAGTCAGTTACAAGCGCGCGGCGAATTCAGTCGGACTTTTTCGTAATTGCTCCAGCCCTGTCAAAGCAACAAAAATCTGTCTTCTCGTAGGCCTACCCGTTGGCTCAATAAAAATAAAATAAAGTAAAAAACGAAAACCGTGGATGAAAGAATATTAATATTATTAATGTTATTTTTATCGTTTTTGTTCCAAAGATACGGCATATGTTTATACAATTCAATTATGTTACTCATAACTTCTTTTTATTTTACCGCCGACATCGGACACTCGCGTAATTCGTAATCGTAGACACAACACGTCCTCACGCAGTGACACCTGCGGTGCGACTGAATCATCTAAACGCTATTCCACCTTCCTAAATCGCGTTCTAATTACGATACTAAATGATTTAGACAGTCAGAAGCCACACTTCTTCCGATTTAGGTTGCTAATTAGGATCCTAACTTCCTAAATGCTATTTCCATTGACTGAATTAGTTCCTGAATGATTTAGAACATCGGAATTTAGTCAAGTAGAATAAGCGCATTAGACGAGGCAGTTACGTACTTTGTGATCTTAATTAATGTAGTAACGTGAAAGAACCCTGTATAGTTCGTAGATCTCTAACTTTGACCCAGTAGAAGTCTTAAGAGAACATAGAAATCCAATCACCATTTTTTTTTATTTTTGCTATTATAGCAATAAAAAATTACGTGTCATACAATACCCACATCGAAGGAGATGGTTCAAAAGTGGTAGTTGGTTTTAGGCTGGGAAGATATATACATATATTTTAATATTAGCAGATACTTTTTTTATTTATCCCCGATGAATTTTAAATCGTGTTTAAAAAAAAATACCATTTTGTATAGATGCTATGCGATATTTTAAGTGTGTGACAGGACAGCTTATAACGTCAACTCAGTCCAGTCATGCATGATATTCGTGGAATCGTGGTGAAATTATTATAAAAAAATATGTTTGATTCTTCTTGAAATAAAATGAAATGAAAGATGAACAGAATAATTATCACTGGTTTAGTGACCTATTGAATAGAATATAATTGACGCTTTGGCAATAAAAATCGATAAATAAACTTGCCATTTGCCAATCACTAATTAATTATATAATTTTATATTATAATAATTATTAATTAAAAAAAGAGGATAAAGTAAATTCTAGTTTTTTGTCACACGATTTACAATTAAGTGCACTACATGTCATAAAAATTTGGAATCTGCCGGAGACTGACTACCACCCCCCATACAAATTTGAACCATGTTCTTTGATCGCCATCATCAGCCTATTAATGTCCCCACTGCAGACACTATTAGTATAGTGTCTAAATTTATTTTTTTATACTGAATAAAGTAGATGTAAAGTACTAACTAAGAATATAAATAAAAACATGCATATTTAGATTAAAACAAAAAGGGAAGATACGGTACGCTCATACTAGCATCAAATAAAATATGATCCGACTCAACTTCATAAGCAACTCTCACACACATCTTTGTAAATAAACATTCAATCGAGCGAGCGAGACAATAGGGATGATGACTAATTTTTTTTTCTTCGTTTATCAGGTAGATTGTCAAAAAGTATTGGACACGTATTTTTTCATTTTTCACATAATACAAACATTGCAGAGATATATTGATTTGAAAAGTCGCATGACGTCACGTTTGAGTACACTTATAAGTGAAAATTCACTCAAAAGTGACGTCACGAGCCCCTACTTCCAAATTTTGACGCGATAGAACTTTGTCATTTTTTGGTTGGTTGCCCAAAGAAAAAATACGTGTCCATTATTTTTTGATCATCTAACTGACGGACTAAATAGAATTTCGTTTACTGCACCCCGTCATCACCCCTATTGTACGCTACAACGCAGCGCGAGCGAAATGGCGCAAGTCCGCGTCGCTTTGCAGCCTACTGCGTTTTCTTTTCTCTTTCTACTGACGGCTGAGTTATATTGTTGTCCTTTTCTTGATAAAAAATGGCGAATCATTTATGGCAAACCGTGATTTTTGAGAAAAAAAATATTTTTATAGTTTTACGGATAAAAAGTGTTGCCGTGGCATCTGTTATTTGATCTTGAAATATTTGTGTTCTTTATAAAAGCATTGAAGTCATTGTTTTATCTTTATAACACAGAATATACGCAATATAGTTATATTGAGTGCACATGCATCGTGTTTGGATGTCCAATTGTGACTAAAGCGAATTGTGGTCATGCACCACAATTTAAGCGGATCACTTTTGAGCCGCGAGTGCCGTATCTTCCCTTTTTGTTTTAATTTAAGTATATTTCCTATTGGTTCAACTGCAAGAAATATTTAAACAGGACTATCCAACTCTGTGGGCTGCCTCGAATTCGCGGGCCGTAAAGCGACCAATGACGGCGAGGCGGTGCGGCTGATGAAGCGAGCCGGCGGTATACCGCTGCTCGTGTCTAACACGCCCGAACTATGTCTCGGATGGGAGACTACTAACTTACTGCGGGGTACTACTAACAACCCGTACTGTCTAGATAGAACACCTGGTGGATCGTCTGGCGGAGAGGTTAGTTGCATAATTAGGAAGTTTTTCCTTTCAGCCGGAACTAAATGTATTTTTAGGAGCGAGTATTATGAAGATTTATTTTCCCTGAGGTTCAGTTTCACGGAGCACCCCCAATAGAGCCAGCATTACTTATATTTTGTTGCCTATTTAGCTGAGAAATCCTTCGAACGATGTCGCTTACTTTAATTCTAATGCGTATTATCTCATTTCTAAATCTATTACGGTGGGAAATATACCGAGTATCTTTCTAGCGAGGAGCTCGATGGCGCGGGTGGTTAGCGCGTTCGCTGCGATCGTTGAAGTTAAGCAACTTTCGCAGTGGTTAGTGACTGGGTGGATGGGTGACCAAAAATCTTCTATCTCGAGTTCCTCCGTGCTTCAGAAGGCACGTTAAGCTGTTGGTACCGGCTGCATCTGGGTGCAGTGGGTCATGGCCCAATATCCCTATTCCATCCATAGGAAAGGCCTGTGCCCCAGCAGTGGGGACATTAATAGTCTGATGATGATGATGATCTTTCTCTCGTTTCAAAAGGATATAAGAGGCATTGCCGATTGGTATTATTATGAGCGAGGGAAATTCTCTGAGGAGTTATTTTCGCTTATGATTTGACTTACTATGCATTACTGAGTATGGCCACAATTCCAACGCGAATAAAGAAATGGATATATTTAATTGGTTTTATTGTTGCATTATGCAATTTCGAGTCTCCGATAAACATCTACGTTCAAAGTGTAGGTAGGCCAAAGATCTTCCTCCGAGCTGGATGATGGTAGATCGGGGGCCGCGGCCCGCCTGATGGTCGGGCATTAGCCTCCGAATTTCACTTGCGCGATGTAGGCTTCCATACTACTATGATCGCAGCGCAGGTAGCGCCATCTCTTGAGGAGGCGAGTGAAAATTTCCTCCATGTTAGTTATATGTGGGGCATATACATGTCCCCGCCACATGACATGGAAGAGTACGAAAAGACAACTTTTTCGTTAATTTTAAGTGATTCGATGATTATCAATTCAGTTTGTTCATAATTATTATGTCCTTTGAGAAGGTTTGTTTAGCCAAGTGTAATACAAGAACAAATGAATAAGTTTATCGAAGTGTTGTCCCTTTCGATTATGGTAAAACATTATGTCATTGTGTCAGGGCAAACAAAAACACTCACTGTTTGTGTAGGTCTGTTTGCACAACGCAGTGTGCAGTCCGTGCCAAGAATAAAATGCAACGAAGTATCCGTTTGACCTTCCATTAAGAGTTTTAATCTATCTGCCGTAAACTTGTATGATGTAAAGATAATAGCAAATTTACAATAGTTAACTGAGAATTTTTAATAATATTATAAAGAAGTTTTGTATGTAGGAAGGAATTCTGTAATACCGAAGCGAGTTCGAAAATTTTCTCATGTACTTACTTTTAGAAAGCTACATTAAAAATCCTTTATTGCTCGTACGTCCGTAGTGTACTTGAATACGGCTCTCAGGCCTGGAATCCGCAATACGACGTCTGCATAAATATACTTAGGTCATCCAGCGTAAATTCAAGAAAATTCTTGAATTAAGTAATAAGCCGCTATGAAATAAGGGGTAATAGGTACCATATACTCCCGCTGCAAGTAAGAAAAATGCAGATATTATATTGTTATCTAAAATTGCTCAATCGCAAATTGATTAACCCTACCTTCTCTCTAAATTGCAAATACGTATTCCTAATAAATCAACAGCAATCAAGACACAATTTATTTATTTTAAACTTTATTGACCAAAATACAATAGAATGGTACAAAAGGCGGACTTAATGCTAATAGCATTCTCTCCCAGTCAACCTTTGGGAAAAAAGAAAAACGCGAACGGCGGTATAAAGCTAAATATACACATAAATATTGATATAATAAATAATATTAAAAATATATACGAATTAACATAGATACATATATAAATACATACCACGAAAGGAATACACATAACTATACACATGATGATGATTAATAAAGTGACTCTTTATCTTAAATTTTGAAGCAGATGAGTACGAATATTCCTTTTAAATATAAGTTTATTTGGAGATCTTCTGATGGAGTCGGGTAGGTCATTCTACAGCCGTATGGCTTGAACAGTAAGAGTTGGACATATAGCCTGAATGAGAAAGAGGAATAAAGAGAGCTAAATCGCAAGAGCGGAGAGGACGTTCGTGACTATCACATAGATATTGGAATTTGCATTTTAAATACTCTGGAGAATGCGGATTGGAAATTATGGAAAAAAGAGTGCAGAGTAATCTTAACTGCCTGCGCTGGCGAATAGGAAGCCATTTTAGTTGTGATCGATATGAGGAAATATGGTCGAATTTGCGGAGGCAGGAGATGAAACGGATAGCATTATTGATTAGGCGGTCCAATTTTTTGAGAAGATCTGCGTTTAAGTCAGGATAACAGACATCGGCATAATCAATGAGTAGTAGAATAAGGGACGAAACGAGAGTAATCTTAGTTTTTATGGGGAGGAAATTTCTGAGGCGATTAAGGGAACGTAATGAAAAAGTAACGGCTCGGCTGACTTCAGCAATCTGCGATGTCCAACTTAGCTTGGTATCAAGGCCGAGATTCTTGACGCTGAGGCTAAATGGAATTGAAGAACCTTCAAATGCAACAGGCCCATTTACCTTAGCGAATTCACATAGTAACACTAATTATAGGCAAACATCATATTTTATTCATCATCAGACTAGTGATGTCCCCACTGCTGAGGCACAGGCCTTCCCTACAGATGGGAGATTGGGTTATGACCCACCACCGGGCCCAATGCGGATAGGCGGGTGCTAACGACTGCAGATGCAGCCGCGACCATCGGCTTAACGTGCTTTCCGAGCTCGAGATAGTAAATTTTTGGTCACCCATCCAATGACCGACCACTGCGATAGTTGCTTAACTTTAACGATTGCCGAAAGGTGCACTCACAGAACATCACTGTGAAGGAGCACAACCTTTTAGTGGTGTTGTGTTTCAGTCACTTCAATAGTCATGGATTCTTATCTGATACAGGGTGCCCTATTAGCGTCGGGTGCGTCAGCTGTCAGTGTGGCATCAGATATAGCGGGCTCCATTCGCTTACCGGCAGCCTTCTGCGGCGTCTTCGGACACAAACCTACCCCTGGTAAGTTTTATTATATTATAGTTTACAAAATTATTAATTATATCTTTAATTTAACAAAATTCAAAAGAACATTTTCACTTTGATCATTGTACTTAATGTGTGAGTTATTATAAATAAATTGGAATTACAGACAAGTGCGAAACGTCATCTGCGACCAACAGCATACACACTAAAAAAAAGCACCTCCGTAAAGTAGTGTTATTTTACTATGGTCTTCTGTAAGGTAGAGGTTACTTCCCCATACGGGCGCTCCGATTCGAGCGGAAAATCCGCTATCTCTTAGTTTTGCACGCGGCAGGGTCCAATGTTATGCTTCATTAGCTAACTTGATTCGGGCGAGTCGCCGAGATAACGGACTTTGTTCTAATTCAATTTAAGCTGTCTGTTACTGTCAGTTAAGTTCATTAAAATTAGTTAAAAAGTTTAGGTAGGTCATATGTAGAGCTCACTTTAAATTGTCTGATAATAAATTAGATCTCGGACTTTTTAATTAACTTTTATTAATGTATCGTAAGAGGTAGTGAATACATTTGAGTATAACAAACAATATTGAGGAATTTAAGTTTAAGCTGAAAGGGATCAAAATATCAAGAATGAATGTCGAAATAAAATGTCATAATTAGTTTGATTAAAAAATTTTTTGAACAAACTGGTACCTATCTAATTTTGCTTCTCTCATTTACATGAATGACCTGGGCACTTTGCACACAATTATTTTTAAAAATAATTAACAATGAAATTGTTTGTTGTAATCTTTGTGTATATCATCTAAGCTGCATGTAGCATGTATATATATATATATATATATATGCCGTAACTTATTGTACGTCCACTATGGCCGTTTTTGCATATAATGTGGCGTCCACCTCCTTATGACGTCCAATATACGGACTTCAAATAGGAGACTACGCACAATGTTCTCAAATTGTCATGCTGATCATAGAAATGTAAAAATATAAAAAAAAAATTGGACGTCATTTTTCCTTCAATCTTGCTGTACCTGAATATTGCTTAGTTCCGCTAGTTTTCGTTGCAAAAGTAATAGCGCTGCAGTCAATTTGTGAATACTTTCATTCGTGGCCGTATTGGACTTCCGCAAAAAATTTGGAAATGCGACGTTGCCGTTCAGTGCAAAGCCAAGAAATAATCCTTGGTCGGTTGTGTTTTAAACAAATAATATTTCTATTCGTTCTGTCGATGTATACGGACGTCGTGTGTGAGCTCGGACAGATTTATTTCATTTGAGAAGGTCACTTCTCCGCCTCTTGTATAGACAAAATGAGTAGTAAAAATCGAAGTGCAAGGATACTGAAATTGATACGAGAACTCAAAGGTAAGTTTACAATACTTTAATTTATATTAGGTAACTACCTTAGTATGAACCTACGCACTCATAATTATCTACTTGGGAAAAAATATCTAGTTAGAAAAGTACGTAGGTACTAAACTCATATTTGATATCAAATCATAAGTCCTTAAAAGTAACCTTTATTCCGAGCGAAATAAGATCTTTTTTATGTATTGACTTTTTTAATGTCACTCATTGCATTAGTTCTGGTTGTAAATCTAATTTGCGCGTCTTTCGAGTGTAGTCGGTAGGTATGCACTCCGATAGGAGTCAAAAATGAATAGCCAGCGGTATATTTTTAGATTTTCAATCTGATAAATTGACATATATGAACTTATTGTACGTCCGCTATGGGTATTTTTGCATATAATGTGGCGTCCACCGACTTACGACACCCGTATATTGAATAGTCAAATTTATCAGACTATATTTTGAAATATTTTAAATTAGACAAATATTTAAATGAAAATAGTAGAGTAACACATCTGATTCACATCAACAAAGTTATTAGGTTTATTAACGACATCTTTACCAAAATTCGAATTATGATTGCATTATAGACAATAGTATATACAATAGTATAAAGTATTTATAGACAATATAATATCTACTGAAGTGGTAACAAAGGTTAAAATGCAGACTTCTTCGATGTTATGACTAGTAAAAACTAGTTAACTAAAGGTCACTTCCTAACTCCTGAAAATGGGTGCGGTAGTATTAGTGTGTGTTATATTTATTTTTATTAACTTAAGAATGTATTACTTTACTGTTGTTATTTAAGTACTTATTTTAATGCAAGATTTATATCGTAAGAAATATTTTTACTAGAAAAATACGACCCGGTCTATCTTAAGTTCTTAGGTGTCGGGTGGGATTCGAACCCATGGCCTTTCGCAATCCGGACGAGTACCCTTGACCGCTGAGGTACCGAGACCCCGACAGTTGCGTCGAATTTGTCCTAGTATTATTTACGAAGTCACCAGCTTCGTTTCCTCATGTTCTAGGAATAGCTACTTATGTACTTACAGCGAATGTAATAGTTTTAACAAGTATAGAACAATCATTATCGATGAATCAGTTAATTTATGTTTTTTTTTTAAGCATTTAACTGCTAGATGTTTAAATCTAAAGAAAAGTTTACTAGAAAAAAAAATGCCTTGCAGCTTAAGGCTAGGAAAATTTCGACGCGGCAAATAGGGCCTCGGTAGCATAATGGTCAGTGCACTCGACCGGATTGCGAAGGGTGCGGGTTCGAGTCCCGTCCGCTGCCTGGTCCGCGTGGATTTTTTTCTAGTAAACTTTTCTTTAGTTAATTTATTACTTTACTTTAGCTATTTGAGCATTTTAATTCAAACATTATAACTGATGAAAAAAATATTACGAGAAAAAATTTACTCTGCCTTTGTCTATCTTTAGGTGTCAGGTGGAATTCGAACCCACGACCTTTTCCAATCCGGGCGAGTGCTCTTGACACCAAAAGATAGGCCTAGTCGATTTTTTTCTAATTAAATGTTTTACTTAGATAATACATAGTGATTTTCTTATGTATATTAAACAAAAAAATATTATGACCTACGTGGTGTAGTGGCTTACGTACCGGTTTTCATGGTAACGTCGCCCCAAGGTCCCGGGTTCGATTCCTGGTCGATTTTGTTTCGGGTCGGGATGTTGTAATACCAATGTTGTATCTGATATCCATAACATAGCTTTGCTTACCTTGAAGTCGGAACAATGTATGTGATGATGTCTGATATAAAAAAAAAACTCCTCTCCATATAATTTTAACTATGCCAAGTTCCCCGCCCTCTATCCCCATAATTTTCATAAAAAGGCACTTGCCGGAAAATAAGCAGTTATTGCTTCACGGATGTTGCATTAAATACTTTTTAAATATACTAAAAAGTATTCAATGCGACATCCTCAAAACAGCAGAAAACTTAAATATTTTAACGGTTTGAGAGGATTTATAGACAAAGTAGGTCATGATCACTCATGATTCAGGTAGTCGACTGTATATTTCATATGACTTAAACGTATTAGGTGTTCTAAACATTGCTTGGGAATTGTATATAATACTAGATTATACAGGTTAACTATAACATATATACCTAACTAATAGAATAGACCTTTTCAGATAGTGAGCCTCCAACCGTATCAAGAAAAACAAGGGATGCTTCTTATTACGAGGAACCAAGACAAATATCATTAGTAAGTAGTCTATTTTTATTTATCCCATATATGATTGATTTAATAAGTTCAAAAATGTTATGATATTTTATTTTACAGAGACCCAGACATAATCTCCCATCATACGCACTGCCAAATACTAGCATTGATGATTCATTCGATATTTCCGATAGTGAGAAACATAGAGATGAAACATATATACCGTCTACGGACGACGATACTGCAAACAGTTCAAATTTAAATCATGACTTGACGGATACTCATGTAGAGATAGATTCAGATTTGAACAACAACGAAACATGTTTGCCAGACCATAGACCAATAACTGATATTGGGACACCTCACAACACTTTGTTATCTGATTCAGTTGCAACTTCTAGTCCTCCTCTGCTAGATGTTGCCAGCAATGTCATTATCGGAGCGAACGCAACAATTCTAGCTAATGACAGCAATGATTCAATAATCGAAAATTCTGATTCTTTCAATGTATTAGAACAATCTCCGTACCCAGTGCATATTCCACCCAGTGAAAGTGATGAATCGTGTCTTACAATATCCAGCCAGTCTATATCACACGTATTGGAACAATCTCCGTACCCAATGCATGTATCACCGAGTAAAACTGATCAATGGGATCTTACAAAAAATCATACAATAACAAGCCAATCGTTATCACAAGACCATACCACACAGATAATAGTACCTATTACGTCATGTCGAGTTTCTATTGATGACATTACTAATTTCCCTGATGACAATAGCTCAGAGTTTGACGACAGCGACAGAGATGCCACGTACAATCCTGCATCTGAGGATTCCTGCAGTACTAAAAGTTACACTGAAGAACTGGAAAAAGTTTTGAATGACACGCAACAAAATCAGCAATTGAGACATGGACGTCGACGCTTAGACAACCCTCAGGTGGGTGAGACCATTTCTTTCTACCAAATACAGTCAGGGAGCCTAAGTGCTTATTCAGACATTCTGGTAATTTTCTGTAATTATCGCGCGTTAAATGCCGCAAGAATTACAGAACATTACCAGATTTGAAAACACAGGATCATAAAGTTAATATACAATGTTACTTTGTTCTGTAATTCATTAGCATAGTCTGTTTTAGGATTTGACAACGAGTAAAAGTGAATACACAAATACGAATGTCAATAGGAAAGAGTTGAAAAGAATCAGATCCAAGGATTATTGTTTTTTTGTGAGGTCGATGTGCTAAATTTTGCGAGACATGTGTTACGAAATCATAGTATGGAACCAGAAGTGCAAAAAATTATCTCTTATCCTAAGAAAAGTCGCACACGCAAAAATCTAATAACCAACTTACGCAAAAAAGGAAACTATATTAAGAATATGGTCAAATGTGTTAAACCTATGAAAAAGAGTAATGTTTATCCATACATCGATTACTTACCATGTGAAAAATGTTTGGGCTTCTACTCTAGAAAGCAATTGT